GAATCCGGGTGAGGATGTAGAGTAGAAGGCGCTTCTCCGGCGGGGCTGAGTGAATGGTTGGTGCGCCGCTGTGACGGACGAGGTTGGTGATTCCAAGCTCTCGGATGACCACCGCCTCGTTGTTGAGGATCCAATCATCGCCACCATAAGTCGCGATGTCGTCACCGCGAGTGGGCAAACCTGCGATCCGGGCAAAGGTGGCCAAGTCAAACTCGGAGTCCACGAGATTGATGCTGCTGCGAATAGTGTCCCCGTCCCGGCGGAGATTGGAGTAGAAAGCCCGAACGTAGGCGGGATTGAAGGAGGTGCGACTGCGGGAGACGAAAGGCCACAGACCCGACTCCTTGAGTTGATTGTCAAGGTCGTGGTACCCCTTTTGTTGAGGGTATAGCTCGGGTAGCACCCTTGGCGGAGAGATGGGGCGCTTGGCGAAATTGGTGATGAAACGAGAGAGTTCCTCTTCCGACCCGAACTCAAGAAACGAGCCGTCCAGGTATGGGAAGGGTTGTGGCGCAGAGCTTGTAGCCTCGGTGGCGGTCTTCTTCTTGGAGGCCTTGCTCTTGTATTTTCCTCCGGCCATGACAGCGTTGCTTACCAAAAATTGATGAAGAGAGTGATATTTGATTAGGAGATAAAGAATTGGAGGAAAATTGGGATTAGAAATGGTAGGATATGATGTGTATTTATAGGAGAAGGGAGAGAACCGTGTGAAATTTTAAAAAAACTAGCTGTTGGGCCATTAAATGTGGTTCCAACGGTTAAAATTTTTTTGAAAAACTGCAGGCTCCCATCGATGGTATGATCTGCCCATCGATGGGATGGTCATCACTGGAAAGCACGGAAGGAAATAAAGCTGCCTTCCCATCGATGGTCAAATTCACCCATCGATGGGAGGGTGGCTTCTGGAAATCCGATAAGACGTTTTTTAAAAAAATAGAGTCAAACACCCAGCGATGGGAGAAGGTTCCCATCGATGGGAGGGGAGGTTCTGGAAAAAGTGTTTTTGACAAAAGTCCTTCACCCAGCGATGGGACAAAGTACCCATCGATGGGTTAGGGTGTTCTGGAAATCCGTTAAGTATTTTTTAAAAATTAGAGTCAATTACCCATCGATGGGAAGAAGCACCCATCGATGGGAAGAGGGGTTCTGGAAAAAAGAAACTTCCCTCCCAGCGATGGTATGGCCTACCCATCGCTAGTTCCCCCTGATTTCCAGAATTCGTCACTTCGAACCGTCCCTGCAAAAAAGAGTTAGAAAACCCTCCGACGCTCAAGTTAGTAAACGTTCCAGTAACAATAAAAGAATGATAAAATGCACAAATTAGATCATCGTGGAGTCAAGGATTCCGAGTTCGCTACGAATGCGGAAGAACGACTCTTTCTCTAAAGGTTTTGTGAAAATGTCGGCTAATTGGTTGTGT